TCAAAGTAGCAAGAGAAGACGATGGACTGAGGAGGTTCTGGTGATTATTTCCCAAAGAACCTACTATGTGATAAGCAGTAGTAGCTTATTTTTCTGTTTTACCGTCCTTTTCTTCTTGGTTATAATAAGTTATTAAAATTAGTTATTATTAGTTTGGTGAATCAATCTACTGATTGACAAGCAGAATTCACTGTTGTAGCTGATATAAATATCATGTACATCTAATCCGTCGTACGTTACTCACAAAGCTAATAAATCAGCTGATTCTTGTTACCTGTCGTGGATGTTAGTCACTGTTCCTGAAGTTAAATGAACCACCACAGTAAACTAAACAGTTCATAAACGGCCTGTAGATGAAAGCAGAATGAATTTACTAGCAATCGAGAAAGAGATAATATGAGACTGAAAAAGCCAGACAAGAAGGCAGTTTGAAGATGAAAATGAATGGTCCTTTCAAAATGAACGCTCACTATAAGATTGTATTACTTCATGTAGTTTACCGAATTAAACATTCGTTCACTACGCCAACTACTATTGTTCTTATCAGTATCACTTTATGCATTTTAATTATGTACACTTTAACGGAAGATACTACTATTAAATAACTTATATGGTGGAAAACTATTCAGGTTAGTCTGCAGTATTTCGCCAGCGAGATGAGTGACCAAAACACCGGACAGCCATTTTGCTCGTTTGGGGCGGAGCTCATCAGCGACATACCCCGAAAAATTCAGCTCATAGAGCTGGATGGATGGTTGGCTAGCTTGCTTCTATGGACCAACACCCCTAAAATACAATGAACAATTTGGAAATGATTTGCAAATCGCCCAGTCCACGCAGACGGTTCTCATAGCTGTTTGGTTTTTCAACTGCCTGACTGTTGTATGAACATGTTTTTTTTACTGAAAATCACGTTTTCTAGTGTCATTTAGTTAACGTCAATCCGTGAAGAAAACTACTTTGAAATGTACACGGCTGATGAGGTCGGCACCAAACGAGCGAAACGACCGTCTAGTGTCTATATCACTTTGATCTGGCTAACCATACCTTGTGATCTCAGCTAAAGCCTTGTTTATACCACAGTTAGGCGGTTGTAAACCTACTCAGCTATGAGAATTATCAACATGGACCATGCAGTTTGTAAATATTTTGCGAACTGTTCACTCCAACTGTACAATTTACTTCCTGACAAGACGAGAGAAAAAATCTTTCTTTTTGTGCCTATTCTAATTTGTGTACATCTCTGATGCAAGGAAATGTGCTAACTATTTCGAAGAATGAAGAGCTCTTTAATTTTATGCTTAAGCATCGTTTAATCAATAAGCGTTCACCGATGAACATAAATATTAAAGGTTAGGATAGTCGAACAGCTATGAAAGTGCAGCTATATAGTAACAAAATATAGCTGAGCATTCTAAACACCCCTACATACATATTAGATCTTAAATTCTGATCGTCTGATACCTTTGCATACTTATCACTTGAAATGCACTTAACAACTTTGTGTAAATTCGTGTAGTGGGAAATGAGCTACACTTATTGTATTAGAGCTTATGATACTACCTGACTATCGCAATTTCACTGGATGGAGCGTTTTCCGAACGTATGACTCACTCGGTTAAAAGTCAGCTGCCTGAATATAGCACAACGCAAAACAAAATAGTATACCGCACTTGGAAGAGATAACTGTAAGCTAGGTGTAAATGGTTTTGTCATTATGAGGATGAATAATAACCATTTTCAGGCGTATGATAAAAATTGGGATGTCAATATTGCTGACTGACGGTATAAGTTCTATTTGAAAAAGACCAAAATGAAAACATACTGTAAACAACATTGTAAGTAAGATAAAATTATAACTGAATGAATAAATATCTTTCTAGAAGGTTACTGAGCTACAATTGAATCTAATTAAATTTGAAAAACGAAGAAGTTTACCATAGATTTGATGCCATAACGTCAACGTTACTTAGTCGCATAGTGAGTAACCATCTGGCTTTCCAAACAATTGATCTTGGGTTCAGATGTTAGTAAGAACAACATCACTCACTGGAAGACAGATATATCCAGCTGACGGGTCTCAAATAGGTCGAAACGTATAATCCCGATTCCACTTCTGGCCACTGTCCACAATTAAAAGTAGTTTACTACTGTTATTTGCTATTTCGAAACGTTGATTGCTTCAGACCGAACTGGTAGAAATCTGTTCGTGCATAACCTTCTGTTTAAATACCTCGGTAATCCTTGCAATCTCGCTCAGATGATGAGAATGGCTACAGACATGATACTACTGGCTTTGTCAGGACACATATAAGGTAACACACGTGCTAACAAAGGTCGACCAGTCAACGGGGAATAGAAAATTCTAAGATCTAACTATACTAGTTGCACCAGGAAAAGGATATTCTATGTCAATAACTTGGTAAGTTTTGATGTGGTCTAAATCCCAATGAGTTTCATCCATTCATCAGGGCACACGTAAATCTAGCTGATGCATCGCAAAGAAGACGAAACGTGCCACCCGAGCTGTAGTGCTAATCAAGATTCGTCGTAAATATCAAAGTGGTTCGGTGGTCGCTGACTGGATACTGCTCAGTATGATTTAGTCTACTAACACTGATTATGAATTAACTCGTTCTAGTAAGGTTTTAAATATGATTAACTACGTTTTACGATGAAAAAGGCATGACTTGAAATAATCGACAGAAAGAATTAAATCCCAGTCTGAACATCAATCGTAAACTTTCTAGCTGTCATTAAACGATGCTACTCGACATATACAAAGTTCAACTAGCGCCAAAGATGCATTTAAGCAATATGTATCAATGATCATAGGATTTATGTCAGACATGTTGGTTTAAACATGGATCTTACTCAAGATCCTGTACCAGGGTACAATTTAACAGTCAGTGTACGCCGAATGACTAACATACGTCTACTCGCCAATCGAGAGACTATGAGGTAGTGTATAAATATATTACTCTTAATTTAAGAGACCATGGTACAAGTGTTGCTTCATTTATATTACCTTTCTTAACTGGGTGTTGATTCCATGAACAAACATTCAGTAATCGATCCCTCCCAGTCTCCACCTAACTTTATTGAAAATGAGTACAGTGGTTTTATCCCATCCAACACTACTGCAGGCTTGCGTCTTCACGCATGCATTGCAAATACCAGGTCCATTTTTCTAGATTATTCATCTTATTCGAGTCTATCATTCTATACCTAGCCCAGTTCCCATGTTCCACTAATCTAACTGATGTCCACCAGCTAGTTTCACCTATTTACCTAACCTAAATTACAGTGATTGTATAGAGTTCGGTTAATGAGATTATTTCTTCTAATTCGTTATATCGGATCCTCAAGCCAACCGACAAATCTGATCAATCAGTCAGTTTATAGGCTTATGTGCCACCTTATTCCGGGCTTCGCTGACGATCCTATGTCGAGTTTCTCATATCCCTTCCCTATATGCTAACACAATGGAGGCTGTGAAATCATTTCCACTCGTATCATCATTACTACTCATATTCCCGTTACGGTTATCATTTCGTTTATCATATCTCCTATGAATTTCTTAATAAACTGCGGAGCATAATTATTAACTATTAGTGCTTCTTTCATGTGTTCCATTCCTTTTTCTAACTCTTCTCACTGACTAGTCAGTCTTCTAGCTACACCATTCAGACATTCCACTAATCCTGTCTTAACTCACATTGCATGAGACAACTCAAAGTCTAGATACCTGTTGGAATGTGTTGATTTCCTCCAGACAACACTATCCAAACCACTGTCTATCCTTCGATTTATCATGCAATCGAACATTCGTAATTCTCCTTGATCATTTTCTACCTGGTAAGTGAATTGGATTGTGTTTACTACTGAGTTTATTATAAGTGTGAGGAAATAGTCGATATGTTCTGATTTCAGCACATTAGTGAATGTTTCATCCACATATCACTACGATTGGATATATTGGCAATCCCATTGCTACTGCTTCTGTTTATCGATATATTTTACCCCTGAAACATGCAGATTGTGGAGGTCAGGCCCAACCGTACGCATAATATGATTTCATCGAGCTATATCTCAGTTCTGTGAGTATGTTCTGAGTGGATTTTGGGTTTATTTCTGACTGTTTCCAGTGACATATTGATTGGTATTTCAGTACAAAGACTTGTTACATCGAAACCAACCATTTTTTCTTCCTGTTCTATGTACAATTCATTAATTCTCTGTTGTTACTCGTTAGAATTGATTAATCCTCTATTATTGTGCGCTGTATATGAAATAAACAAATCTTATATGGAATAACGAACCATGGACGTAAAAACAAATGTGAATAACTGGTCGCAAATCGTTGTTGGTTTAAATGGTAGATCTGTCAATGAAAATATAGGATTGAGGATTCGGTGGAGTTAATGATTTTTATGGAATAGAAACGAGCTGTGAATTCTCAACATTCTAATGGTGAATATTTCTTAGTATTCTCCACATTTTGATATATGGTCGTAAACGTTTCATCATCACTTAGACATCGAAATGGCAACCATAAATGTTGCTTCTTTGAATAAAACTGAAGGACAATTTCAGATATTTACCAAGGTAGAATATCAGTTGAAGGTTGCCTACTCTGTCCATCTGATCAGTGAGGGAACTCTGAAGCGTACGTGTGTTATATTTAAGTTTGAAGTTGATAATGAGAGACTTGGAGATTGCTGTTACTGGCGATTTACAGTAAATTACTGCCATGCGAAAGGTGAAAACAATCTTTTAGACATATACACCATGTCAAGACATCAAATCACTGTTTGTTCAAGTTCTAAGGTTTGTACGGCTGATATATACTCATGTAAATACTGTTTCAAGTTTGAAGTTAGTTACCTCTCAGGTCCAACCGATGTAGTATAATTCTACATTCATGATTAAGAAAAAGACTTCATTTTTATCAGTAAAACAAAAAACAAACCTTATTTTAAAGAATATTTCACACCCACCTGATACTTGTGGTTCAGTATTGCTTCGAAATAATCTTCCTTTAACTTGTTTACCAGATATTAATCGACCGGGATCTGTACACTTTGATGATTGTGTTAATAATGAATCCATTGTCACTGATTGTAAATAATTCTGTTTGATTTTTGTTCTTGCCCAGATTGTTGTAGTAGTCTACCGTGTACTTTAAAATGATCTAATCTATTCACATCTATACTGAGAGGATTTCTACATATTGGCATATCTGTAATACAAGACGATGAAGATGATAGGAAATCATTCAAAGTGTTCAATTGATTTTGTACAAAATTTGAAGGCGATACAGTGAGTGTTGATGCTGTTGTTGTCGATGTTATTGACGTCATCCATGATGTAGAATTAACTGGATTTGTACAACTTCGTTTACGTACATCTTCAATTTCTAACAGAATTTCTTCATGTCTAAGTAGTTGTAGTGCACAACGTTTCTCCAACTCTTTGATTTTTGACTACGAAAAAGAAAGAGAAACAACAACGACAAGGAATCAAGACACAGAGAGACAGAGAGGAGAGGAGAAAGCAAAGAAGAGAAATACAGAATATTTCATGTACATCACATATTTTTAGGAAAGCACATCACTTCAAGAAGTCGTAGAAACAAAGGATATTTTCGGGGAAAAATTCCAGTTGAATACTGTTCAAATGCACAAAAGGCGCACATCGTAACTTTGTTAACGCTTATATTCCTTCGAATCTTGAAACCCTTGATACTACTGAATTATTTAAGTCTTTGAAATGTAAAGACAAGAACTATGGGGCTTTATAAAGTGATTGGTTAATGTTAATTATGAGGATATTATTTATAAACTCCAAACCCAATTCTCATACTTCTTGCTGATTGCTTGAAACAACTTTACATAAAGTAAAATGCACAGTGGAATAATCAGGTCTCGTAAAAACGATTTATTCAGAAATGACCCATATAAGGTAACTCAAAATCATAGAGGATAGATATAGTGATACAATTCAGTGGAGAACTGGCTAGGATACACGTCAGACTAAGTAGTTGCTCAAATTCAATAGGATTGTAACGTATAAATTTTTGGCTTTGTAGAATTAAAAGGAATTTGAATAATCCAACAAGCAGATGTACCTTAACAACAGATAGATATTTAGTTTTAAAACAATTCCGTCATCATTAATGACGAAAAGTGGCTACCAGTGGAATCCAGGAGGTGCGTTTCACTTGAAACAAGAACAAACTATTTTGAAGGTTTAAGCGTTATCCAGTACACCACTGACTCACGATAGCTTGTCTTTGTGCAACAGGCATATCACAGTTTCGACATTGCGTCTTGTAATCACACGTCGTTGATTTGACAATTCGTAAGCCATGATTAGCATATGAGCTCCTGTAAGAATCCCTCAGTATTACCCGCATATTCTCTTTCAATATTATTGATAGACAGCAGTTAGAAATGTAACAAAGACGCTTGTTTTTTCTTGTCTGAGACTCACTAGACGGTCGTCGGTTGCTATCTTAGTGAGCAAAACATCAGTCACTCGAAAGCAGGTATATACAGATGACGAGTCCCGAATAAGAAGAAACACGCATCCTACATTTCATTACTATCCACTGCTCATTATTAATAAGAAAAATAGAAATACTAGCAATATCACAGCATCCACATAAGAGTCCATATGCAAGTAGTGATCAGTCCGTTCAGTGCAATCAGTGACAGGGAATTATTAGCCTTTATATCAGAACTACAGTGTAGTTGTCGATGTGTTTTCAATCTATACTTCTACACACAGATGTTCCCTCGATGATCAACGTTCACACTTGAGAGGCTTATGATTAACTCTGATCCATCAGTTCTGATTGTTCATTTTAAAAAATCTAAAATGTTGCATTATTACTAGTCAAATTATCGATGGACATCCACCCTCAATATTGACTTCATTCAGTTTACACATAAATAGATTATCAGATTGACTATCTGAAATAGCCGAAGTTTGGCAGACTTGTTTTATTGATACTAGGTGATAATTGAAGATGAAATTAAAATGTTGACCGTGGTAAGTTTTGAACGAATGATATTATGGGTTACCAGTTCGGAGAACTGCTTATTGGGTTGTGAGACCCAACTTCAAAATATATTTTAATTTCATACTCGCTGCCCAGCTAGAACATTTCATCACAGTCCAAATCCATTTGAAATATACAGGAGGAGCATTAAATTGATTGTCGGTCTGACTATCTGACATAGTCGTAGTTTGTCAGACTTGTATTCATACTTGCAGTCGAGTTAAACTCTTAATGACTGAAAGGAAATTAAGATCTGGTCTGCAGTTGAGTCTTGTAGCTCAGTTGGAAGAGGATCAGGCCAGTAACTCAAACACCAATAGTTCAAATCCTGCAGCTACCGAAATTTTCATTTCACCTCCAATCACCACCCACTAACATATAAATACACTTACTATTTTTAGTATTTTGTATTTAACTGGGTAAACTAGACAGTGCTATGAAAAATAGGTAATCAGTTGGTGAGTTAACGTACCTATGATGATGAATATAGTCGAAAAGCGTGTTATTTTTAGCTGGTATTAAACTATATGTCTCTTACTTACTAACATATACTGTTACTTGAGCTACAAGATCTACTTTCGCCTAACCAAGCCTCAGTTTTACTTGGTTTATCAAACAATATAAAGTATGCGATGAGGTTGCTTAACGAGCAAAATGTGTAGAGTTTATACGGGATAATTTCTTCTTCCTGTAGAATGCAAATGCAATCTTTATCCAGCATTTGGTTAGTTAGATTGTTGAAGTTCCTTTTCATGTTTGAAACTCCGGACATTTTACCTTGTCACCTAAGTTAAGAAATAGTTCAAAAATTCGGTAACAGCAAAAAATACTGGATCTTTATTGAACAGGGTTAACCATCTGAAAATCTAGGAGACCATCCCAACCTTCTATAATATAGCAAACTGACATTAAGAGTTGGTTAGCAACTAAGTCTGGTGCCCCACTTAGTGAAGCACCAGACTAGAAAGACGGTTTCTGTCCTTTTGAATTCTACTGTAGCCCAGATTTTCTTTTCCCCATCAATCATCAATGAATATCAAAAATGTCAGTCTACCGAACTATGGGTATATCAGATTATAGATATATGCCTTAACCATTAGTTCTCAAAGCATAAGTTCCAACTGAAATAATCTCTCGATCGAACAGAGTGGCTGGTCATTTCCTTTTTCTTCGTGAAATTATTTTCATTAATTAAATGGCGAAGGACACAATCAAATATATCGGATTATGAAAATGTCTAAGGAAAAGATCTGTGCAATCTACAATATGTTTGGTAATAACTCATCATATCTCACTTTGATAAAACAGCCCTCCAGGCTATTCGTGAAAGAAATTCACACACGTCATTACTTTATTGGTACGTTATCTGATGATATTGCGTAGTCTGATGATGAAAAGATCATGATTAAGCAAGTCAGCAAAATGGGGTCGACAAAAACAACACAATCTTTTGAAATAAACACCTAACAATTCATACCAGCAAACCATCTGAGTGATTAGTTGATTTAATGTGACTACTATCAGTTACAGAACGTCTCCATATATAGCACCCTGTTTTGCACCATTTTATTCTTAAGCAGTCGCAATGAAGAGAAAGTGTAAAAGCAACAGTGGTGGATTCCTACCCAGTTAAACTTAAGATATTTTACAAACTTCAGTTATTTTTCGAATAATAGTAATTATTGTTTCATTCGAAATAACATGTGTGATACAGTATGAAATGCTCAGCATACTTGGAATATCTTAAAGCAAAATTATCATTGAATTTGAATAACGTTAACAATGAATGTAATGAAAACCACGATGCGAAACATGCACCTCATATTTCATTAGTATATTGTTTGGACTAGTGAATGAATAGAATGTCGAGGGTAGTTTTGGTAACAGCAGTTTATTCAGCTAGTACCAAAATCTGAAATTCGATATAGTTATCCAAGGAATAATGATGTACTGTATTTCTGTGTATTTATAAGCTCATCTCTCACCAGTGTATAGTTTACTCCTAGTTTTGTTGTCCGCTTGAAAAACGGCAGTTTAAAACCACTTCAAAATTGTGTTAGAGTATATGACACGTATAAAACATTCAAACAAATTGAAAGGGAAGAATCTAATAAAACATATACAGTGGAAAGTTTTTGGTAGCCCAGAGGTTATGCAGGCCACACTTAAGAGATTAAGGTTATTGAAGTGACCAAGTGAAATAATAAGAAAAATACAAGAAAAATACTAATGTGATGAGACGACTTTTCTCCCTCATTACCTTAGACCTATTTGAGCCGCGAAAATATCAGAAGACAATAACTGGTCTCTAACTGTAAGGAAGACACTTCATTTGACAAATATCCATCGTTTGTATACTGTTTACATGGACAAATGAAACCACAAGGTCAGTAGTGGAATAGCTTATTTTGATTGGTCAACTGTAGGATAAAACTGTCCAATAAAGCTTTCCCTGACCACATAGAGACAAAAAAATAAACGTCGAAGTACACAACCTCCTCCTCCTTTAGGGGATGACAGGTAAAAATGTCTATTTCAATTTAAGCCACTTTTTATCAATTATGTATTGATAACAATAAAGCAGTTGATTATAATGTGTTCTGATTAAAGTGCCTTTCTCATCAAAACACTATTTGACACCTACTTTTATCTTTTATCACATCGATCAAACTAAATGTCACAATCAAGAATGACTATAGTGATATATATATATATATATATATATATATATATATATATATATATATATATATATATATGCCAATAACTCAAATATTGTCCGGAGAAAAAGGTTTATCGATTGGTTATATAAACCTTTACGGCTGAAAAGTTGAATCCAACTCTAAGATAATTGGTTCACAAAGTGTAAGTACGAAGTGGTAACCGTAGTAGTAAACCAATTGTACTGTGAGTACCAATTCCCAGTGATAACACTGAATAATACTGAACAGTGTGAAACAGAAGATTATAACTCAGCAGTTCAGTAGTAGAAGAAGAAGAGGAGTGTCTTCAAATTGATGACAATTGATAAACCATAGATTTTTTAAACAATTCAAAACCGTACACAGATATTAACTGGCAGTAATACTCTATAAATTCCTTAGTTCCCAGAATATGAGTCCCTCCATCAATTCCGATATCAACAGAGTATAGGCATTTGTTGGTGTCTTGAGAGAAAGTTATTTTACCCAGAAACTATGAAACATTTGCAAGGAGTAAACTATAACTTACCATACACCTACTCCCTTAAGTACATACAACTAGTGAGAATACTGAAAACAGAAGTAAAAACTCGGTGAACTGACAAACTGCTTTTAGTGGTTACTCAGAGTATATACTCCAAAGTTGTGAAAGCCATTAAAAAATCTCAGTAAAATTTTCTCAGAATGATATTTGTACTAACGGTATGCAAAACTCAGA